GGTGTTTTTGTTTCTCTACTGTTTTTTCTCCTACTTGTGTAAAAAATGTATTCAAATGCTCTGCAACATGGGTCACATTACTTATGAGTTGGCCATCTACTTGAAGGGTTATTTCATTTAGGGATGTTTCCTTTTTGGACCACACTGTGTTTATTGTTTCCCAGATAGCTTTAGATTTATTTTCAGCTTTCATCAACTGGTCAGAGTTAACCTTTTTCCGCATCGTTTTCAAGTACAGGTCATAGTTCTTTTTATTTTCAATAGAAACCCTTCTGTCATCTGGATTTCCCGTCACCTCAAACTTTCTTAGAGCTTTAAGAAATTCGGCTTTAAGTCTCACTGCTTCTGGGTCCATAGAGAATTTTAGTTTATGTTTTCTTTGTGTTTTTATCTTCTTTTGGGGGCAGGCTGCATCCATAGCTACTCTCACTATGTTACTAAAAGTTTTAAAAGCTTCTTCGGCATTGTTTATTGAGGTAACACTAAGCCAGTTTTCTTGACTGAGAAGATACTTGAGGTCTTGCAGGTTTTTATTTTTTAGGCAGCGTCCAATTTGGGCTGGATAACTTGAGTTGATGTGTGAGTTGAAGTTTACAGTACAGAGTTGAGCAGTATGATCCGAAAGTCCTGCATTGATGATTTCTGGAGTGAGTTGGTTTGTGTCCATATTTGTACATATCCAGTCAATGGAGGTTTGTGTTAGATTTGTTATTCTCGTAGGTGGAAGCTGTAGTCTCTGGATGTTGTGCATAGCAAGAGTTTCATTTAAGATAATGTGTTTCCTGTTTGGGTTACACAAATCAACGTTAATATCTCCCATGATGATAAGAGGGGAATTTTCAATTTTTGTTTCCTCAATTAGTTCTGTAAAGGTGTTTAATGATTCCTCAAGGTCTCCGTTTGGGGGTCTGTAGGTTCCCAGTACAAACAGATTTGAGTTCTTGAATTTTATTTTTATAAGAGCTGCTTCAAATAACAGTTCTTTACAGTACTTGGAAACATCTATGGCTACTGTGCTGCTCTCAAGGCTTTCTTTTACAAGAATGCAAACACCTCCCTTTCTGTGTTCTATTCTACTATAGTGAGCCTTGAGGCAGAATCCAGTAGCTATGACGGTGCTACTTATTGTCTCAGGTTTCAGTCCATGTTCTGTCAGAATTACTATGTCAGGTTTGGTTTCTTCTAAAAGGTGCTGTAGTCTATTTATTTTATTTGAGACTTCCTGTGTATTTTGGTGCAGCAGGATGAGTTTGGAGTTTACATCCTGACTCGATTGTCTAAAAAACAGTCAGGTTGCGTTTCTCTTGTCTCTGCTGATTTTTGCAGTTTTCTTAAAGTAAAATCAGGCTGCGTTGGAATAATCTGAGAAGGTGAGGAAAAAACAAAGTTATTATCCTGTAGCGATGCAGCCTCCCTTTTTACTAAATATCCATAATGCTTCTTCATATGTTCTGAATAAAATCCTATATTTTTTACAAAGAAATCATTGTAATCCTCGTCTTTGCTCTTTGGCTTAGCATTTAGGGGTGGAAGTTTATTTTTATTTTTGGTCTCTTTCAGGCTTTCTTGAGCTTTTACTGTTTGTGACACTTGTGACAGTTTTTGTGGCGGGGTTTGGTTGGTTCCCCCTGTTGATACTCTTTCCGTTAAGGTCTCAGATGACAGTTTTTTCGTAGGAGTTTGTCTGACTCTCCCTGTTGCAGTTTCTGTTGGCAGTTTTTTAGTAGGAGTTTGTCTGACTCTCCCTGTTGTAGTCTCGGTTGGCAGTTTTTTAGTAGGAGTTTGTCTGACTCTCCCTGTTGTAGTCTCGGTTGGCAGTTTTTTAGTAGGAGTTTGTCTGACTCTCCCGGTTGTTGTTTCAGTTTGCAGTTTTTTCATTGGAGTTTGTCTGGCTCTCCACGTTGTGTTTTTGAAGGTTTTGCTGGTTATTTCTCGGCAGTCAGTAGCAAGTGTGTGATTTGTTTGTTCTAGGTATTTTGCATTTTGCAGGGATACGCTAAATATGTTAGTTCTGTTATGATTTCTTTGAGCCCTTTTATTTTTTAATGAACTTGGTGTTGGAATGGAAGGATTTGTACGAGTTGTCGGAGAAATGGTGTTAGAAATCTCTTTGTTCATCTGCATTTTCAGGGTGTTAATGACGTCTTCCATTTGATTTTGTTTCATTTTAATTTGAGCAAGTTCAGCTAAGAGGAAAGGACTGTGACCAGCTATACATTGATGGGTCTGGGCTACAGCAGGCTTTGTACTAACCAGATTTTCCTCTTTTTCATCCAGCTTAACTTCATTGTTTTTTTGTGTCAGATCTTTTATGTTCTGTTTAAGTTGTTGAGTTTCTTGTTCATATTTTTTTAATGTGTCTTCTTTTTCCTTGTCCAATTCTTCAAAGGTGTGCTCTAAGTCTCTGCGAAGCATCTTCTCATTGTCGAGCTGCTTTTCAAGATTATTGATGGTTTCCACTAACGAGTTGTTTTTCATTAACAATCTTTCATTTTGGTCTAATAGTGTGTCTATTTTTTCTTCCCAAGCTGCTGCTTCATTTCCATTTTTTATTTTTGTTACTTGAAAAGACAGTTTGGCATTTTCGAGACTCAGCTTGTGTACATCCTCTCTAAGTTTATTGTTTTCTTCAAGGAGAGCATTTCCAACCTCCGCTGCTAGGTTAAGAGAACTTTCCAAATCATTCTCTTCTGTATCAAAATTCTGTACAATGTTTTGAAAATCGTCCATGGTAAGATTTAAATTGTTTAACATAGGTTCGGGCTTGTTAATTGAGGTATGAAGTTGAGTGATGCAGCTAAGCAAGGTGTCGTCTGAGGTTTGACTTTCAGAGCAATGCTTATCATCAGTTTTGCTTGATTTCCTTGCAAGAGCCATTTCTGCTTCTTTTAAAGCTGCATTAAAATATTTATTTTTGAAATTGTCTTGTTTAGGTTTACCATATATTGCTTTGTTTTCTGAGTAAAGACATACATCACTTTCCTTTATTTTAGCTGTTTTATTATCTCCAAAAAAAAAAGAAACAGTATACTGTGGTTGTCTATCATTTTTCTTTGGAACAGTCTCCTTTATTTCTGCAGGCCAGAAACTGTAGCCTTTTATCTTTGCAAAAACTAAATCACCTGCTTTATACATAATTCTACCTCAGTTGGAGAGGCTAGTTGTCTGAACACACAACTGTTGTTGATCAGCAGTGTGCTATGTCTGTTTGTCTGCTAGCTAAGACGTTAGTTACAGAGTCAGCAGTGTTGACGTCTACCAGCTGTGTCGTCAGATTGTGTCGTCAGCAGTGTTATTGCCTCAGTCTGCAATGTTTCTGAAGCACTTGTTGGAAGACCTGGGAATAATTCTTGACCATGTAAATATGCATTGTGATAACATGCCAGCAATAACGATTTTGCAGAAGAGAACCGTGAATGACAAGACCAAACATATAATTCGTAAACAGTAATTTGTTAGAGACATAATCAAGAGAAAACTAGTTGTGCTGAATTACCTTCCAACTTCCAGGATGGTAGCTGACATTTTGACCAAATCACTTGGCAAAATAAAGAATGATGGTTTCTTGGCCAACCTTGGTATTACCTCAATGAAGAATCAAGATTAAGGAGGGGTGTTGGAATTTGTAATCTTGTTCCTCATTGCCTTCTTGGTCTTAAGTTTATAACAGCTGTAATGTATGATATTGTATGTCGTGTGTTTTCTATGTTTATTTTTGTTGTTGTAAATAAACTTCACTTCCACTATGGACTTTAGAAACCATACTGTGTAGTCATTTATGTCTTAATTATTATAAAAGAAAATCAATTATAAACAAGTAATTTGGTAAATTTTCTAAAATAACAGAATATGTACTTTTAGTTAGTATAAATAAAAATGTCCTACCTTATTTGGTTTTGTTTTTATTAGCTTCCCTTATAGGAGAGGTTTTTCTTCTGGACCCTGTATTTGTCATCCTTATGGATCAGCTGAAGCCAATCAAAGTAAGTTTGTGCAAGGTAGAATGGGATTTGATGCTTGCTATGTGTTACCTTTTAACTTTTGGGTCATAGGATCCAACATTTCCCAAAAAACCCGTTATAGGCTGTTATTGCTGTTACCTGATATTACCTGTGACCCGATATTGCTGTTATAGGCTTCCCCACCATTTGCGCCATACACAATGTTGTGGTCATAGGCTCCCACACCATTTGCGCCAGACACAATATTGTGGTCATAGGCTCCCACACCATTTGCGCCAGACACAATATTGTGGTCATAGGCTCCCACAGCATTTGCGCCAGACACAATATTGTGGTCATAGGCTCCCACAGCACTTACCCAAACACAACATTGTGGTCATAGGCTCCCACAGCACTTACCCAAACACAACATTGTGGTCAAGCTCCTTATAGTATTTGTGCTATACACAAAATAGCCAGCATGGGTCTCCAGAGCACTTTGTGTGAAGCAAAACATGTTGGTCATGGTTGCCTCAAAACACAAGCACATCGTTGCATTTATGGGCCCCTAAAGCATGAACACCGATCACAACATTGCTGCTTTCGACTATCAGAGCATATACATCCTTCACAACTTTCAAAAATTTGTGTTAAGTTAGTGTATGTTAAAATATGACCATGTTAGGCCTACAATGATTTGTATAATAAAGGGATAGCAGATGTTTACAACTTTTTCTAAGGTAAGGATTAATGCTAGCTTACCTTAGGAAAAATAAAGGTAGACCATAGAACATAAGGAAGATACACAATATTTTGTCTCATGATGGGCTTTGTCTACACTTAAGGGTACGAAATATTTCAATAAAAATATCAAAATAAAAGGCGAATATTTTTACAATTTAATGTGTTTGAAGCTTTTAATGTCTTAAGTTTCAAGTTATCAAAAAAAATGTTTCAACAAAGAATTTTTAGTTGTGACGTTTGATAATTGATAGTTAGTTGAAACCCCAAATAACAGAGATTATAATGTATTCTTACTACAGTTTAAGAATAACTGACCTTCAAGCTGGACTTGTATTTCCACTTGTGAGACGGGTGTAGAGTTGGTGAGGAACACTTCAGTAGGTCCAGAGGAATGCAGCATTATTTGGTCCATGTGGTTTGTATCCGATGCTGTCACCACTTCCTCCACCATCATAGGTTCTGTCTTCACTTCCACCTCTGACATCTCCACTTCATTGGCATCACCTAAACTAGTTCTTGGTTTCTTCTTCTTTTTTCCTCTTTTAGCAGATCTTGATAAAGCAAGAGGTTTAGATTTTTTTCTTGAACATTTCTTTGGTTTGGATCCACCATCAGCTTTCATTGCATTGTCCTGAAATTAATTAGGTGTAATCATACTATTTGAACAACTATTTGTTTATATACAGACTTGTCAATTATGTATTAATTTTTAGCGAATTTACCATATAGGGAATAGACTATTACCGTAGGTCTCATGGTTCAAAAGTTAATTCAGGAGTTTTTGCTCTGAAGAGATTGTCCTCTTTTTGTGACATCAAAACATTGCAATCAATGTATTTTTCAATGGTCCATACCCATATTAAGTATGGTCTTGAAGGGAGCAACATCAAATTTTAACCTCCAAAAAATTTTACATCTTCAAAAAGATGCAATAAGATCAATGCTTAAATTGGATTTTGATGCACACTGTAAAAAACATTTTATTGGATTGGGTATCATGACAGTTTATAGCCTTTATATTTACAAAACTGTTCTTCATGTTAAACGTAATATTTCAACATTTACTAGAAACGTCAATAATCATAATTACAACACAAGAAACCGATATAATTTCCAAATTAATAAGCATAAAAAAGAAATATCTAAACAAAAACCATCATACATTGGAATACAAATTTTTAATCAATTACCAATAAAAATCAAAAATGAAACAGATGACAACAGATTTAAAAACGCAATAAAATTACATTTGACACAAAATGCTCTCTATAAATTCAAAGATTTCTGGGCTAAACAATAACAGCATTGACTTAAAATGTTTTAGGCCTATTGCTGTTTCACTGAACTATATTTTTGTTTTCACTGAAGTATACTTTTGTTTTATACCTACTTGAGAGATGACTGTATTATTTTGTTGTTTTGTTCTTGTGTATTGTATTTGTCTTTTATTTGTGTTTATATTTTATGTAATGATGAATTTGACACCATTCTTGTATATACAATTTTATATACTAACTAGCTGTAACCCGCGGGCTTTGCCCCGTTTAACTTCTTAATTTTCAAGATGATCTCGTTCGCATGGCTCAATCACGTCCTGGTTGAAGTTCGTTCGCTACGCTCACTCACCTTTGGGCTGGAGCTCGTTCGCTACGCTCACTCACCTTTAGGTTGGAGCTCGTTCACTGCGCTCACTTGCCTTCGGGTTAGCTCGTTCGCTACGCTCACTTGCCTTCAGGTTAGCTCGTTCGCTACACTAACTCACCTCCAGGTTGAAGTTCGTTCGCTACGCTCACTCACCTTTTGGTTGCAAATTAGCTGTTGTCATGAATGTAAAAGAAATAATAGTGCTGCACCCTGTTGGTAATCCTTTTAACTTTAATGCTATTGAACATCATAGAACAGAACCAAACTTGTTTAATTGAAACAGCTGTTAAGATTCATTAATTCCATTTCTCATAAGGTTAACATGGGAAACTCCAGAGCCACTGGGGCGGAGCCGATTGGACGGATCGCGAAATTGATGGTGTATAAACCTATTCCATGACATTCTACACGTATGTACCAAGTTTCGTGGCAATCGGTTCAGCGGTGTCTGAGTTTATCACTGCCAAACAAACAAATATATATATATATATATACAAACATCCTCTTTTATACTTATAGATGAATAAAGATGTTTTGAATTGAATTGAATTGAATGGTAGGACCTGGACCCGGGACAGATTTATGTTTTTGTTTTGAGGTCCCCAGAGGCCAAAAAATCCATCTGTTCAAATTAACATAATATATATGTATATTTATATTGTGTATCATTTAGCACGGTAACTCGAGCAAAAATGATCCGATTTTGATGAAATTTGGTAACAACATGTAAAACTACATTTATTTGAACGAGTTCATGAACCAGCATGATCGGACTATGAAAATGGGGGTATATGGGGGGTTTTATGGGGTAAAAATTGGTTTTTCCCATTTTTGACCCTATAAACGTAAAATTTTTCAATTTCTTTCCAAAGCGTTTTGTAAAGCTTAAAAAGACAAATAAATTAGTATATTGAACATTTGATCGAAAACACCTTTTCCCTTCCATGTTGTAGTAGCTAAGATTTTATTCAAGGGACGGACAAGCGCAGACTTCCACTTTTCTGGGAAAATACCTGATCTTAGTGAAGTATTAAATATGAAAGTTAATGTTGGGAGGAGAGCAAACAAGATACGTTTAATTAAAGAAATTGGGATTCTGTCAGAACCAGTGGCGTCAGACGTTAACCGCCTTATAGCCTTAAAAACATCGATTTGCAATATTGGCTTCAAGTTAAATTGAGTGATGGAATTTGGCAAGTGGCGTAACTCTGTTAAATGGTTCTGAACTATTGTACCGTTTGCCTGAGATGAAACTAATAAAAAATTATCATTTAAATCGTTTAACGGAATTCATGTGGGGACAATGTTAACTTGCTTTCCAAATCCAAAACGTTTTAGATTACGCCAGCAAATAGCAGAGGATTTGTTTTTCCTTCAGAAAACAATCTATGAAAAAAATTGGAGTCGAGCATTACGTAAATTTTGTGTTACTTGATTTCTAAGCTGGCGATAGTGGGCCATGAGCCCTTGATCCCTAGTTCTATTGGCTCTGCGATTGACAATTGGAGCGTGTTTGTCATATAATTTTAAAGTGGTTTCATTAAGTGAATCGACCATATCAACTGACTCCAGGGTATGTGGGTATAATGGACACTCATTATGTATGGAGTGCAAAGGCGTTAAATTTACATCAGACAAAAAATTTACTTCATTAAAATTTCTAAAATCTCTGTAAGATATAAGTTTTTGTTTGGGCTTGGGAGCTCTTGTGGCAAGGGCCACAATAAATAAGGTCATGTCGAGAAATGGCAGGGACTGGAAGCTGGCCATGGTGGACTGAAAATTCGGGATCACTTAGAATAATAGGGTCTAGTAATGTATCAGCTTCAGCAGTGTGATGGGTTGGGTCCAGTGGTTGTATCTTCAAGTTGCAAGAGTCAAACATGTTTGTCAATTGTCTGCAATCGTAACGTCCAGGTTTGAGTAAGTCACAGTTAAAGTCACCCGTGATCAAGACCCGACTGTAGCTCGGCATGAACGCAAGAGAGTATTTTCAAAATCGGCCAAATGCCCCACTCCTGGAGGGCGGTAACATGTCCCCATGAGAAGAGCATCCAAACCAGACAAACAAATTTCCAAAAAAATAAATTCAGGTTTAGCAGAGTACTCACCCGCGGGGACTTGTACAACTGCCTGGCTTGCAAACCATCTTTCACATAAACAGCGACGCCGCCACCTCGATTTCCTAAGCGATCGTTTCTGAAAACTGAATAACCAGGCAGTGCGATCAACCCAGGCGAAATACTTGGCTTCAACCAAGTCTCTGAAACTGCAATGATTTCAAAATTTTGAGTCTGAAATATTGCTCTGACTTCGTCAATATGTTTTGTGAGGGATTGAGCATTGATGTGAGAAGCTTTGAATTGTTTGACAAAGGGAGCGAGGTTGTACCGATGACGGTAATTAAGATAGAACCATTCCGTGCCGACTTTTTCGATGCACCACAGACCCCTAGTATGCGTAGATTTTTCCTGCGATGCACACGAGCTGAGAAAAAGGTTTTAAAGAAACATGCTTGCCTATTAATATATAGTTTAATAATTTGTGATATTGTGCGAATGTTTGGTAATTTCTTTTTTTGTATTGTTTAGGTACAGTGGTATTTGTTGTCTAAGTATAAGTTTCCCCTCAGGGGTAGTTGTCTGTCAACTACACAGGAGGCCTCTTGTAGGCTGGCAACCCCGAGGTACCCTAGCCAACCCCCAGATCTCGCTTCTTCTTCGTTCTGGGTTCTATGGCCAGCTAACTTCCTCTTTTTGCTGGCCCTTCTTTCTTCGTCGCTTTCCTATTGAAGAATCTTCTTCCCTTTTCCTTTTGCTTTTGCTTCTTTTTTCAGCCGAACCTCAGTGGTGTGATGCGACCCCTGCCGAAGAGGTGAATGCCACCGGGCTCCCCAGCGGTGGTGCGTACGGAGCCTCCAGAACACCGGGGGACCTCCTGGAGAAATCAGCCTTACCTGGACATGCGGGCTCTGTCTGGGCTCGACCTCCAATTCCCTTGCTTCTCGTGGGAACACCATGGATACGAATAAAAAAACCCAACCGGAACCAAACCTCAGAGCAACTCTAGAAGTTGCACCGCCCACACCTCAGGGGTCAGCTCACTCAGAGCAAGACCCTGCTCTTGAAACGTGTGCACCAAGAGCACAGGAGGCTCTAACGCTTTCAAAACCAGGAACTTCCACTATGATGGAAGTTTAACTACCCCGACTGGAAGCAATGGAGGACGAATCCCTGCTCACACCAGCTACACTGGAAAGAGAAGAGGAGCTTTTAAGCAGTCCTAAATCACTAAAATCCACAGAGACACTTGATGACGCCACTGATCGACTTAGTTGTCTTAAGATGAAGAAACCGAACCTCACCATGGCACAAAGAAGGGAGGCCTTAAAGGCAAACCTTCTGGAAAGAGGTGAACAATTCGATCCTGACAAATGACGCAGGGGAAAGAAGAAAAAAACCCAAAAGACCACAGGAGGTAAGAACACCAGGCCCAACTGTGGGTCCAAATGTCGAGACGAGGGTGACCAAGCGCCCTAGAGGAGCAACGGTGACTCCACCCTCGGCAGAAGGAACTGCAGAGAAGGCCAGGTGTTCTACCCAGAGGTCTGAGGGGGTGAAAGACGCAGGGGAACCTGTAACGCCCAATGAAGCATCCTACAGGGACATCACCGCTACGAAAATTGCCTGTCATGAAATTTTGATAATTGTTTATAGAATGATAATGGATCAAATAGATTGGTAAAATAGTTTAAAATTTTTGAATAAGTGGACTGTATCTTGTATAGGAGAATTTTGGTTTAATTACATTGAAAGATTCACTTACTGTTCTTGGTAAAATAAATCTTCTTAAATAAATAACTTATCTTCTTGAAGTTGAATAAAACTGACTTTAATAATAATTTTTTTGAATTTAGTTTTTGATACCAACACTTTTTTTATGCATCTTCTTCAGGTCATTCTCATTCTGTCTTCATTTGTTTATCTT